CACCTTATTGAGGGCTAGCCACTCATAAGAGCAGCAGGGAAATCCTGTCTTATCAGTCACTAGTCTGATATAAGATTTGTGAGGTTTCAAGGACACCTGCCTTATCACTGATTAAACCTAACATTCTAATCAGTGATAAGAGTAGTAAGGATCCTTGGACACTCACCTTATTGAGGGTTAGCCAGTGATAAGAGTAGCAAGGGAATCCTGTCTTATCAGCGACTAGTCTGATATAAGAAGTTGTGAGATTTCAAGGACACCTCCCTTACCACTGATTAAACCTAATATTCTAGTCAGTGATAAGAGTAGTAAGGATCCTTGGGTACCCGCCTTATTGAGGGTTAGTAAGTGATCAGAGTAGCCGGGGAACCCTGTCTTATCAGTGACTAGTCCGATATAAGAAGTTGTGAGGTCTCAGAGACACCTGCCTTATCAGTGGTTAGCCATAGGATAAGCCTACCGCTAAAATGTGCTTGGCACACAGAGGCCAAGGCCCACTAAGTTGCCTTTGTCCAACAAAGCTCCAGTAACAGGATGAATATGTCTTGTATGGTCTGCCATACCGCCGCTAACTTTACCCACAATCTGCATTGTTCATTCCTAACTAACTATTTCTGATTTTACTGAAAGGGGATAAGTGAGATCTTGCCTCTGAGAAGGACTATCCATTCATCTGATTCCTTTCCACGAGATTCCTTCCACCAGTTGGATTGATAATGTGATCATGCGTGTTGGGAGAAGGAAAGGGACCTCAGATAGGATAATCCCAAAAGGGATAAGAATGAGATAGTGAAAAGAAGTATGGAGAATTGTCGTGACGGTAAAAGGGAAGTGAACTGTTATTCACTACCTGAAGCGAAAGGGCAACAGCCCAAAACATTTGGTTAAGGATAGAAGTCAAACAAAGACACAGAGTCTACAAGGAACTTTCTAGATCTCAATTAGGAAAAAAAATGTTAAGATTATTTTGGATTGTGTTGTGTCTACAGGTTTCGACACTTCGGAGAACTTACGGGAGAATCTGTAAGAATAACAATTATGTTATCTTTGGATAACAGGTCGGTAGAACTCCGACTCAACTTCCACCCATGGCTTGGCACCCACACCTAAGACAAGACCTAAGAAGGGAACAGATAAATCTTCCCCCCTGTATCTATGCCTAAATTGTCAAAATCACACTCATGAGTCTTCAAAATATGTCGGGCTGGGGTAAAATGGAGTCACGGTTAGGAAAGAATGTTGTTTTCAAGGGTTTTGCATGCTGTGAGTGGGTTAAAGGTTGACACTCGTAGCACATTCTGTGTCTGCATTTGTATGTGCGTATGTGTTTTTCTGCATCTGCGCAGGTGTTGAACATTTGTATTGTTTCCTGAGTTTGGGGTATTTTGGAAATTCGGGCAAAGGGACACGACGATCGTGAAAGTGAGGTCCACCACTTAGTCAGCTCCCCTGATTCGCATACATACATATATCTATATATACTTGTGAATGGGATCGTAGGCTGGTCGGTACTTACGAAGTCATTTTATTTGGGACGTCTTATGAGAAGAATGAGAGATTACTAAAAGCTTTACTCTGACATTTTTACAAGGTCAACAAAGGAAACCTAGAGTCATTGTCATAGTTAGTTAAGCGTGGAAGACTGTCTGAGAAGTCGACCTGATAAGATAGTCGGTCCTGAGAGTTAGCACTTCGGGGCTCGAGATACGGGCCAGTCTTAAGGCGTTCTACCGAGCGTATATCTATGCTACGACGATCGAGAAAAACGCCCTCAGCTGGCCTACCTCTGCGATTCGATGTAAAAGCCTTCGCACGTGGGTCAGTAGCTCAGAAGGGATACGCCCACCTAAGGGATGGTGACAGCTCCCGCAGGTGGAGGTAATGTTGTACCTCGCGGGTTCCCTAACCTGTCGTAGGGAGTCGCGAGAGGTATAGCACGCGCGCACGGTCGGAGTTGGTATTTCGTGAAGTAACCAAAAAACTCCTGCGTGACACGACCGTGAGGTCCAACACCAAAACTTTACTTTACGTCAGGGTGAGAAACTGCCGCGTGCAACAATGGCGCCCCCCCCCCCCCTCGCAACTCGGACTTGGATCCACTTCATGCTTCACTTCACACGACACCCGCACTCTGGCAGCTAAGAAGTGCGCATGAAGTTTATTTTTTTGGTAACGAATAGTCGAGAATATTATTATTATTTTTTTTTAACAGGGTAGGCCGGGGGCTTCTCGTTGCACTTGGATGCATATGTTGCTTTACAACACACAAAACACGCACAGGGTAGGCAGGGTATAGGTGCTTGGCGACAGGGTAGAGAGAAGACACGCACACACAAACACACACACACAACGGTCCAACTATATCGTGACACACACAAAGAGAGAGAGAGAGAGAGAGAGAGAGAGAGAGAGAGAGAGAGATTCCCCTGAGTGCCTTGGCGACAGGGGCACAATGAAAAGATTGATGTAACCAGTAGGGGCATATCAGAAATTTCACCAACAGCTATCCGGCAGGGGCATGATGCAAATTTGATGCAGGTACGGTAGGGGCACTATGAAAACATATGAGGCCCAAAGGACACCAGGGTTTTATGGAAAATTTGGCATCTGGTCAGAGGGGCGCCACAGGGTAAATCGGATGTCGGAGGAGGATGTGTGTGTGTGGGTGGGT